GAAACCCACTGTTTTGTCAATTATAACTCTTAAATTTGGCCAATCATAGTAAACTAAGGGAAAATAATCTTCAAATTTTGTTCGGTTCTATTTATTTTTTCTGGGAGGGAAATTGGTGCAAGGCCCATACTCATGAAGATTGGGCCTTCAACTCCAAGCCTGGACTTTTATCTAAACAGTCTAATTCAATTCTTCTGACCAGAAGCATACAGGGCAAGGAAATGTCCACTTTGACCTTAGCCAGCCTATTATTATAAGACATGAAAAATGATTCCTAACCAAATACATACCGTCCAAATCCAACTATTGAACCAAAAAGAATGACTAGAAAACAAAATTGCAAGGGCACGTTTGGAAGTTTCTGCACATGGTTTATGAACGCAATATTTGACTTCATTAAAAGTCCAACGAACACAATATTTGACTTCATGTTTTTAGCAATAAGTCCATTTTAACATTATATATTATACAATTACTTATATAGAGCCTATTTAGAGAGAAAAATTCAAAACTAGCCACTTGTCATTTTCTAATTGGTTTTAGAAATTTTTAACACACTAAGAATCAATTAGAAAATGACAAGTGACTAATTTTGAGTTTTTCCCTCCAAATAAATTTTATATGGGTAATTGTATAATATGTCGCTAAAATGAGCTTATTAATTAAAAGCCCTTCATTTTATCTATAAAGCTCATCACTATTTTCCAATATATATGTCTATAGATTTCCTCCTATGTGGACGTCCGAACATTATTACCGTACCGTACGGACACCATAGATATTTTTAACCTAAGTAATGGACCCAAATGTGACACCCCTGACGGCAAACAAATTTTCTAGCATTGTTTTCTTCTTTGGCATGCGTTAAACCTAAGTAATATTTCAAAGCTTCCTACCAAATGAGATACAATATTTCAAAACTTTAAATAATAATAATAATAAACCCTAATAGCAGACAAGTCACATTACCACATTACCTAACCATATTTAGATTAGCAGTAAATAATTGAATATTAGCAACCGAGCAATTTTATAATGAGGTTTTTTAACAGCTGTCCTATTCTGCATCCTTGATCTTTTGGAATGATTCAACCTTTTCCTCACCACTATTTGTGACTTTGTTCTTGTACCTCCCAGCCAAAACATGCTTACGAACCCTAATTGTACTACTAATTATTAATTAAAAGATAAACAACTTACATAAACGCCATGCCTTGCTTAACTGAGCCTTTTTGGTTTAACGTAATGAGAAGAATCATTCAAATGAGCTGACATCGACCAGAGTTTATTTTATATAACACGCTTTGTTAATAAAGTTTTACGGCAGAAGCAGTTCAAATTCGGTGGCCTAATTTTTATTCTTTCATTCTGGTATTGCTATTGAGTTTAACGTTCAGTTTTTTAACAGAGATCTTACAAACTTAAGAGTGGTTAAAGAGGAGTTATCTCTACATTTGACGTCCTATTTTTCATTCCCCCTCCTCTAATATCGCAATATCGCTTATACAAAAATAAACAAAAAAGCTCTAAACCTTAAAACAAAATCTTTTTAGGTCCTAAAGCAAAAGGTGGCCAGTTTATGTAGAAAAGCTTACTTGTAATGTGGTTAACATTGTTTTGCTATCATGGTTGATAATATAATAACACGTAGAAAAATTATCTCATGTGTTATTACGTCATCGGTCCGGAATAGCAAAAAGTGATATCCTTGTTATATGAAAGTCTAAATTGACACCTTCTACGTGTGGCTAGAAAATGAGAAATAATTGTGCCCCGACCAATCACGACATGCCAATGCATAATAACTTTCCATGTGGCAGTTGGTGATTGGCTGGGATAGCACACCGTTTTCACACACGATTTTCCGGTAGAAAAGTCCTTGTTTCTATGTTTCTATGTGGACCTGTGTGAACCTAACAAAGGGTAAAAAGAAAAACAAACGCAAAAAGTTAAATTACCTTCTGTAAGATCTTGAGCTCCTCATAGGCATTCCACTTCATCTTCTTGATGGCATAGAGCTCTCCATTAATGGAACCTCTGTACACAGAGCCTTCAATCAAGCTATTCTCTCTGAATCCATTTGTAGCCTCTCTCAAGTCTTCAATTCCAAAAACTCTGTACTTGTCCAAGCAATCTGAAACATCAGCCATCAAACTCACCTCCATTTCCTTTGACTGCTTAGATCCCTGTTTGCTCCTATACAGAACCTGGTTCTCCTTCTCCTCGTCTCCCTTCCTACCTACCCTCTTTTTCAACTTACCATCTCTGTAAATTGAAAACCCAACAACCAAAATCAACAAAAACCCAGTGATCCCCAACGCAATTGCCAATCCTCTTATTAACCCTTTCCTCTCAGTCTTCACAGAAGTTGCAGCAGAAGGAGTAACATCAGGCTGTGAAAGCTCTGGAAGCTGAGTCACTGGTACAAAAATGGTGTCAAAAGGCTGAATGTTATTGCCATTAACATCAGTTATAGATTTTTCCTGCACCCCAAACAGTGAAGCAACTCCTGATATGTTATCAGAAGGCTGAAACACATAGGAGACGAGATAATTGACTTGGTTCTGCAACTGGGTTCTGTTTGGGCACTTGCAAAAGATCGGAAAATATGCAGTGACACCAATTGTCAAGTTGGTAGCCACAAGATCAGGGTTAACAAGCTCAACAGATTGGTATGTGGTGAGGTTTTGAAAGCTGCGGCTTGAGAGGCGGAAAAAAGTGTCACCTGATTTGATTGTGACTGAGAGATTGGCATAAGAAATGGTCATGGTGGCGTTGGGAGAATTGCAGGAACAAGGGATTGGGATAAAAAGAGGCTGATCAGGGACGAGAGTTGTGTTTGAGGAGGAGATGTTGCTTGGTTTTGAAATCATGAAGCGGCTAACAGAGAAGAGGTCACCTATGGTGGCAAGGTCAAGGAAGTCAGGAGCCGAGGCTCTGTAAAAGACATAGGTATGGCATGGATAGCTACTCTGGTTGGCTATGCAGGTGTAGCCTTCAGTGACTGGTCTTGATACTATTTGAGCTTGTGAATGGTGAAGAAAGAGATGGTAGTAGAGGAAGAAGAGCAGGGCAGAAGAGACGAACTTGGGTTTGGTACTCATTTTTTTCTTCTTCTTCTTTTCTAGTTCTTGCTCTTTGTTTTGTCTCTGAATTAGATCTACCTGTATATATATAATGTCATGTATTGGTGTCATTTGAAGTGGAAGAAAATTAAGAATTGGAAAACCTTGTCAAGATTGTAGTCAAAAGATGCTTATGTACAGTGTATTTGTCTATTTTCCAATCGTCAATTGGATCAGGGCCCCACCACATAAATTTTTTCCAACTTATACTAGTCAACCAGGTAAATCCGTCTAGTCATGAATCCATAACCACAGTCCAGTGGATTTGTTCTGTTCAGATCAAGTCGATATAATAAAGTTTGGATTTCTGATCAGAACCTCCTATGATAGTAGAACCATTGAATTGTTAAGACTTAATGGGTAGAACAATTGAGAGTTTGAGCGACTCAGTGTAGCATACGCATATTCCATACTAACAGTATGAATTATTTATCCCAGGTGATACTCCATTTGAATGATCCTACTTTCCAAAACTTGACCTACCACTACTACAGAGGTTTAAATTGGAAGACAGCGATAATACCACAAAGAGCTGGAAAATTTCTGCCATAACGTGCCTTTCAAGGTAATTACAGTTGAGAGAAGAAAAATATCTGTGAGAAATTGAAGTCTTTTTTTTTGGGGTCAATGTGAGAAATTGAAGTCACGCGTTTGATTATGATTTCACTGGCATTAATGTTGACCGTAGACGCCAAGATGGAGTGCCGTGTAGGAGAGGTCGCCAATAGAAGTCTTTCTCTTTGGGGCCAACGGTGGCCACCAGATCCAAAATTCTTAAAGAAGATCATTAAGTTTACAGTTGACATTTCCATCCACTCTTTGACTGCTTCTAGATAACATAATAGTCATGGGACATGGGTTTTTTGACTTTGAAAACCAAATGAAAAAATAATATCTGGTACAAATAGTATCTTGCAAAGCTGAAAACCAAAGCCAACGGAAACAATATATATGGGTCTTAGTTTTTTTTTTTTTTTTTTTATGGTTCAGAACACTTTTACCATGACGGGAGGAAGTAGTGCCCGGTTTGGATTGGATTGGATTGAAGTTGAGTCCAAATCAGTTATCATAAATTCCATCCGTTTAAGTGGGACTTATAAGACACAATATATTGGGTTATTGTCCATTTTAAAAAGTTCAGTCTCAACGCATCAAACAATGACCAAAACTCCTTTCGCCCAAAAAAAAAAAAAACAATGACCAAAACTCTTGTCCATTTTAATTGGAAGAGGACAACATGCACCAAGATGAGCAGCAATATTTGATTTTGTGTCACTTAGACAATCATTTTATTAGTCCTTGAATTTAGACCCGATTTGCATTTGAGTCCCTCAATTTCCAAAATGGTTCCCATGGTCCTTTAACTTTAGTTTCGTTATGACAAATAGTCATGCCATCAATTTTGTTAACTTTTTTGTTCATGCAGGGGCAAAATAGTATTTTTATCAAAATTGATTAAAATATGAATAAAAAATTAAAATTAAACTATCTTTCTCTCCCCCTCTATCCGGATTTCTACTCCCCCAAAACTTGATTTATTTATTATTATTTTTGTGGTTTTTTATTTGATTTTCTTTTATTGTTATTTTAAATATATGATTTTTTATTCATTTTTTTGGTTTTAATATAAAAATATCATATTGTCCCTGCATTTAACCGAAAAAGTTAACAAAATTGACAAGAGGACCATTTGTCCAAACGAAACTAAAGTTAAAGAACCATGGGAACCATTTTGGAAATTGAGATACTCAAATGCAAATCAAATCAAAATTCATGAACTAATAAAACGATTAACCCTTTTCAAATTTACAAGCCAAGTCAAACATTCCTATTTCGACTGACAGATGGATTCTTATTCTTAAGGAGAAGCAGAGCTGACAAATAGGTACATGCTGCATATGTTATGTAATTTGTACACCATCCAAGAAAATCTAATAAAATTGTGTGTTCTCATTGGCTTCTAAATTTACAATTACAACGCCTAATATATAAACAAGGAAGTGGAAAGGACAATGCAGAAAGAAAGGACAACATAGAGAATTGGAGAATATTAAAAGAGGCCTTAGAAAATTAGCTATACCTTTCATCCACTAGTTGGTTTAGAATTCCCATTATGGTGGAATTTACAGAACATCAATTATCTCTTCATTATATCTTCCTTCTTCACAGTCACAGTGAAATCCCATAGATCTCCATATTTCTCATTGAAATCCCAAATGTTCATGGTATTGTAGTCAGCAATCAACTTGTCACGAGCTCCCCTCTCCATGTTGTATATCTGAGGCTCAAAGTTGTGGGGTTTATCTGGCTTATCCATCTCAATGATGCAAAACACAATCGTAAACAGACCGGCTCCGATGTACAAGTATTCCCCCTGAAAAACAAAGTAATTGCATAAGATTTCCCATTGACGATGAGCAAATACATCATATTTAGATGGCCTAAATGACTCCATCCTTCATATATATCACATCTAAAAGTGGCATTACCGGAACGTGGAGAAACATCCCAGTAGCAATTGCAGGGAGAAAAAGCCATGATATAAGACCTGCCAAGACAATCAAACCAGATGATGTTCATTGTAATGTAAGCTAGTGATATATCAAAGTTCGGCTGCAAGTTGTTATACCCTGAAAACCCGTAGGGGTTTCTACTGCTTCAATGTCTTCTGCTATGGATCCCCAAAAAGTTCCTGGATCAGAGAGATAGCGGTTTGTGAGAATCTCAACCATAAGGAGGGAAAATTGAACCAAACTCATAGCTCTAAAATGACTCCTTAGATGTTATTGCTCAATAACCTCCTGCATACTACAGTGTTTTGGTTGTCTAATATTCTCTATAACTGGCTCTAGCGGATTTTAGTACAAAAGACCAAAACATATTTGTCAATCATAACAAAAACACCATATACTCTTAAATGTTCTTTTATCAAACAAGCTAATATGTTACATTGCGGCACTGGTAAATATCGATTAGAAGAAATCATATCCGTTGCGGTTTCAATTCAAAATTTAGCAATATAATATGTCACACTCCCGGACTAAGTGCTAGCTAAAAGGAATATTACTCATGATTTCATTACTATACTAATTGTCAAGTTCAACTACTTTTTTGTATACAAAATTAAAGTAAGGGTACCTTTGTCCTCGCCTTCGTGGTAAGTGTGGTGCCCATCATACTCACCGAACTTAAAATCTTCCTGAAAAATAAACCACATTTGAATTCTTAATTAATCATCAATCAAGATAAATTCATCTAATTATATATATATAGTCTGTGAATTTTTGTACCATGCTGATACTGTTAGTCTCCCAACGATCATGGGGGTCTTCGTTGAGATCAGGCTCAATCTCCGCGAACCCAGCTGCATTCAACCTAGTGAGCCTTTTCTTCCCCAAGTTTCCGTACAATTTGGAGGTTGTGAAACTCTGATCACCTGAGGAAACCCTAACCCTAGTTTTCGATAGCTTGGAGCTGAGTTTGGGCACAGTGCAGGGGCAGACGACTGCGAGGGAGGAGCAAACCGCCATTTCTGGTTTATCTTCGATTTTGTGGCCGTTGTGTGAGGTTCAATTGCGCGCTATCTGCAATGGTAAGGTTTGTTACGGTCACTTGCGGTGATCTTTAAACCTTGAGAATGACTAATTGTATTTTGCCACATATTGAGGAAGAAGGATTTCTCGGTATTTTATTGACGTATGCGTGCACGGTGGCCCTCTCTGTTGGTCTTTCCAGAGTTTGCCTCACAGGAGGTAGTCTGATCATGATTTATGTGTATGTGCTTGTTGGACTGGATATGGGTTTGCTTTGCCTTGTGGGCCATGTTTGAGTAGTGCTCTAGTCCAACAATGTTTTTTTTATTCATTATTTTTAAATGACAAACTCATATTAAAAATTGTACTGCAATTCGCTTATAAGTTATGAGAAATTATAGAATATAATATGTTAGTATGGTCATATGGTACATCTTGTACATGTGTTATAATATGGGTGGACAACATCGTTTAAGTAAATTTAGGTTTTAGTCACAAAAAAAAATAAAAATTACTTTTAGAAAAAACCAAAAATTTTCTGAAAAAGCCCTCAACTTTCAAACAAAAGACATGCAAATGATTCATTAGGAAATCCAAAAATAATAAGAGTATTTTTGTCCATTTTGGCTTCTTTTAAAAATATTTCTCTCTCCTTTGGCCTCCAAAATGTCCCCATGATTTATTCCTCTCCTCCCTCACAATTTAGGGAATAGTATCAATAAATATCCATTTATATTATAATATGTGTACAAAATGTATCACGTGACCGTATTATCGTAGTATTTTATATTCACTCATAAGTTATAATTCAAGTGATTGTATTGCAAAGAATGTTAACAACCACACTCGAGAGCATGTTACCATTTTCTCCACACAAGTATCTCTTGTATAAAGTACATATACACAAAAACCTTCAGTTAAGGAATTTCTCAAAATAAAGTCTTTGAGGGAAAACATTGTGGGACTTTTATAGAGTAATGCTAATAAAGTTTACTAGCCATCTGCCCAGATTAAGGGACATGCCTATTTATTTGGTTCACATCTCACATTTGGTATACAACACAAAGCTATATTCAAGTTGCATGCATATGTTGAAATAGGAGTGCTAGTTACCTTTCATTTTACTTTCCTTTTTTTGTCGTCTTTGTTAATTTTGTGCCATGTGTATTTTATTTACACATAAATATATATATTTAATACAAAGTACTAATATTTTGCTTGTAAATAGAATAAACTTTTTTTACACATAAAGGTCCAGTTTGGGATTGCTATCATTTTTTTAAAAAGCTACTTCTGTCGTGCTTTAAAAATAATCCATTGTAAAGTAAAGCAGTTCCATGTTTAATAAACAATATTCTTGAAGTGTTGTTAGTATAAAAAACGGTGTAAAAACCGTTTGGTCAATTTTAATATAAAACTATTATAACTGTGAATAATGACTAAAATGGATATAATGTTGAAAGTGTTATGTGCTAACCATGTGGTGGTGGTGGTGGTGTTAGACGATGTCACTTTAAAAAATTAATGACGGTATTATGGGAATTGAAAAATATTCATTAAAGACTCTTATCTGCTTCTTCTGAAAGGAGTTTTGAAAAGCTGCTGTCAAAAGACTATTGCTTTCAAAATAATCAGGCTATTTTATTTTTATCAAACACCTTAAATAAGTGAAGCTAATTTTGTGTCCAAAAAAGCAATTCTATATAGTTTCTAAATACATAGATCTATGTATGAGTATAATACACTTACACAAGATGAATGAAAAATGTAAGAGGGAAATGTAGCTACATTTCTCAATAAATGGTGAACCCAAATAAAAGATTAAAATTGGTTGAAGCCAACAAAAATTATCACAATACAGTGGCTTAGCCTTGAGGCTTGAGCATGGACATCCTAAAACAGCCCAACCTTACCTTAGCCGTAGCCTACAAATGGCCAGTGCATTGTTGAGCAAAACCACCGCGGATTGGTGCGTCAACTTGCTTTGTCCCAGATACCCTTCTCCCCCTCCTATTTTATCTCACCCTCCCACTCTTCTTCTTACTTGGAGACCCTTTCGCTATTTTTTCTATACGTGAGCTCTCTCTTTCGCCCTCCTTTTTTTTATTTCCTCTATGCTCATCTTACTTCAATTCTGTTGACTTTTAGTAATTGAATCTAGTTTTTATGCTGAACTGCTTAGATGGTAGCTGTTATTTCTTCTTTTCCTTCTTTATCTCTCTTAGCTTAGTACTTCGATTCATATTGCTTGTTCTGGTCTTCATTTTTTTTTTGTTGGGTAGTGTGGAAATCTTTGAATTACACGTTCCTTTGAAGTCTTGAACTAATGTATAATGTTTTTTATTGTTACTTTGGATTACCATTTTCCCTTTTTCAAGATTATGTGTAGCATATTGTCTCTAGATCGATGGAGGAGCCGCCTTATAGCACATTTGGAATTAGATTCTCAATACCAACATCTCAAAAAGGATCATTGGTTCTGGGCATAACTGAGCAATTCTAAATTTCAAGTTAGTAACAGAATTCCAATAAAACCATATTGCTCAAATTTGCTAGTAAATCCTTACTAAATGGAATCATGGTGATGGATATGACGAAATTTTTTTGTGGGATTAAATTTTAGCGATTTGTTCTACTTTCCATATATTTAGTTATTTGAGAACATGAGGGCCCTTAATGTTGATACTGCTTTCGAATTCTGGTTAACTGTTTGCACAAGGCAACCTTAAAATTATCAACTGCAAGAGTACTTGTTTCTGTTGTTGGAATGTGGATCTTCTATATTCTGTTGAAGAAAGAATGACATGCTATTTCTCATTGCATCATTAAAGAAAAACAAGAAAACATATTTTCTTTTAGATGCCATTTTCAGTTCTTTTCATCTTATGTGTTAGACTCTCCCACCAACCCCCTTTTTCCAGAACTTGTTGATTATCTACGTACTTTCATTACCCTTTTTGATTTCATGTATTAACAATATCTTCATTGCAATCTACTCTGTAGTAAAAGATTGTCAACATTTTTAGCCATGGACGGTTCTAAAGCTGGTCCATTAAAGGAGCTACCTCTGGGGATAGATGCAACAACTGAGGAAGAATATGCTTCGCAGTCTAAGTTACTTCAAGAATTCACTAGCATTTCCAGCATTGACAAGGGATGGATTTTTAAATCTGACAGTGGTATGATTTCTCATTTTTCGAACATGCATGTCCTGTAACATATAATACATACGTATGGACATATCAATATATGAATACAAATTCCTTCAAATATATATGTGTGTGTGTGTAAATTCCTTCAAATATATATGTATGTGTGTGTGTGTGTGTGTTTATAAAAGTTTACGTTCCTTCCCTCCAATTGAAAGCCAAAAACCCATTTCTGATGAAGATATTTGTACATTAAACTTTGTTACAGGAATTGGCTCCCAGGCAATGTTTTCAATTAGTCAACCAAATCTTTTGGCAAACAAGAGGAAGAAATTCATTCTATCCTCTCATATTTCAAGAGAAAGTAACAATTCTGTAAACTTTCAATGGGCCCCATTTCCTGTTGAGATGACGGGAGTATCTGTAATTGTTCCATCTCCGTCTGGGGCAAAGCTTCTTGTAGTACGCAATCCTGAAAATGAATCTCCCTGTCAATTTGAAATTTGGGGCCGAGCTCAAGTGGAAAAAGAATTCCACATCCCCCAATCTGTTCATGGCTCAGTATATGCTGATGGATGGTAATTAATCATGCGAATGTAATATTTCCGATGATCGCTTTATAGGAAATTTGATGTTAGCATTGTGTGCTAGACACTTGCCTATGTCTATAGTGACTAGTAGTGGAGGTGCACCTCAATTTTGAGCGTTACTCCTTTCAATTATCTATATTTTCTCTAAACATAGAAGGGATTAAACTTTCAATTATACAGGTTTCAGGGAATTTCTTGGAACTCTGATGAAACTCTCATTGCTTATGTTGCTGAGGAACCATCTCCCTCCAAGCCCACATTTACAGGCCAGGGCTACAAGAAAGGTAGCTCCACAGAAAAGGACTTTGGTAACTGGAAAGGTCAAGGGGATTGGAAGGAGGAATGGGGGGAAACCTATGCTGGAAAAAGGCAGCCTGCACTTTTTGTCATCAACATTAACAGGTCTTGTGCAATTGGTTTACTTTTTATCATACAGGATTAAAATTAAGGAGATTTTTTCTTAGGATGTCAAACTTATTAAAATATCCTATGATGTACAGTGGAGAGGCACAAGCTGTTAAAGGAATTGAAAAGTCTTTGAGTGTTGGTCAAGTTGTGTGGGCACCACCAGTTAGAGGTTCACATCAATATTTGGTTTTTGTTGGGTGGTCAGAAGGTACCAGAAAGCTCGGTATCAAGTACTGCTTTAATAGGCCCTGTGCCTTGTATGTGGTTAGGGCACCAAATTTTGAATCAGAAGCTGATGGACCTGAACTCAAGTGAGTTGCTTTGTGCAATGCTTATGTCTCGTTTTTTGGACCCTTATTCATGTCAATGGTTTAGGGAATTCCTTGTGCTTAGACATATCATATAACTATCAATTTCTTTAACTGTTCCAGAGATAATTCAACTGAAGATGTTCCTGTGGTAAATCTAACTCAAAGCATAAATAGTGCTTTCTATCCACGGTTCAGGTATTGTGTTTTTCCCCATAGGCACTTAGTTCTGTCTTTGTGTACCCTTTACAGGGGTCTGTAATCTCATGTGTTACTTAAATTTAGTCCGTGATATATCTTATGCGGAATGCTTTTTTAGATTTTAGAGAATTGTTCATAAGTCCTTAAATTCTGCCTACTGGAATATATTTTCTTCATGTCAAGGACATTTCAGCTTGAAATGCTACTCTAGATAGAACTGGAAATTAATTTTTTGGCACTCGTTGCCTTTCTTTCAGTTTCAAAACTGAAATTGATATGTTAATGTCAACAGGAGTTTTATGAACAGCAGAATTGGAATTTTGGTGATTTTTCAAACATTATTTAATAGATTGCTGATTGTTTCAAACATTATCTACTAGATGGCTGATTGTATCTGAAGCATAAATGAATGTAATTTTGCCAGCCCAGATGGAAAATTCCTTTCATTTTTATCTGCAAGAA